TGAGATAACGGGCCAAAACTCTCATAACTTCAAGGGAATGGTGGGGCAAGGGGATATAAAGATTGTGAGCTCAAATATGAGGTCCATTTGCCTCGAAACCTGAATGATTCTTTGGAAACTAATAGGACTTCAGCACTTAAGAAAATAGACCAGAACACTTATACTCTGAAGGAATTGATGGACCAAGGGGGTTTCGAAATGGTGAGTTCGAATGTGAAGTCTATTTTCCTTGAAATCTAATGAGTTGTTTGGAAACCAATAGGAATTCAGCTACTAATAAACCTAGCTAATCAATCTTTGGCTGTTAGGAGAAAAGTCAGGTAGGGACTTTAGAGGCAATGAGTTCGATGCAGGGATCTAAGCACTGAATGTGGGTATAGGGTATGGAAGCAAGTGTCTTCTTCTGTTGATATAAATAACAATGTTTGTCTGTCTGCTGTTTGTACATTTGATTTCGGTAATAACTAGCGCCATCAAAATTTTCATGATATACTCTTGAGTGGAGAGAAAAATTGAGAGTAGATTGGCGCGACAGACAAGGAAAGGAAGGTAGTCGAATGCAATGCCATCCAGGTTGTGAAAATTGGAAATTTTCTAATCCCTATCTCTAATGTACGATATGAAAAATAATGTTCACAGGCTGTCCAAAGAGTGAGCATGTATTCATACCATGAATATTCATGGTTCTCACAGATATACTGTTTGAATTCAAGCGTCTTCAATTTGCTGTATGTCTTGCCTTGGCGAGGTCTATCGACAAGGCTCAAGAATAATTACTTAAGGTGGTTGGCATTAATCTCGAGAGCCCTTGCCTTTCTCATAGCCAACTTAACGTAGCATGCTGAGGAGTTGGAACTGGGAAGAATTTGTTTATTTTGAACCCTGTTGCGAAAATCGACAAGGTTCTGCATCAAAAAGCGTTGCAATCGAAGTTGTATTTCGATAAATGATTGTTTGTAATAAAAGAAGTCGATCAATCAAAAATAACACTGAAAAGGATAGAAATTGGTTTTAAATTGAAAATGGGGAAAACGTCAGTTGAAAAAAAGAAAGTGATCTGAACATATTTTGCGATATCGAATTCCAATAATTCATAGGAGATCATAGTGACGTCTTTTTCTAATATGTCAAGTATATATTATAAAATGATCGTGACTATCATCGGGTACCTCCGCTAGTATTTAATAAGAATGATAATAAAAAAAAGAATAATTTTAAACATTATTGTTACAAATTGTTACTTATCATTGTATCTTTATCGCATATCAATCTTATTTTTAATTTTTCTTTGTTTTAATAGAAAAGAAAAATTTTTCACACATCTATATAAGATATTTTGATAAGTATACTAAGAAGAAACAAAATAGTATAGCTTATCACACTAAATAAATCTGTGAGAAATATTTTCATTATTTAATTAAATATCATATTTCAATAAACATTTACATTTAATTATAAAGTATAAAACATTAAGAACATCTATGTTCGTTTTTACTTAATCGAATCTAAACTGTCAATCAAATCGATTTAAATAATATATTAATCTTCATATTAACTAATATCACACAAACAGATTCTCTCAAAAAAATACTGTTTCTCTACTAGCACTGCCGAAAATCTAATCAAGGAAGTTCAACTTATGTCTATTAACTTGGCTTGTCAACTCGTAAGATTCCAAATGGGATACATAAGTTATTTTCAAATATCAAGGCTGATCTACAAGAGAAAATGCGGAAAAAAGTGTAGTACTTATCTACAAAAAGAGTTAGTATTGAACTGTATTCCTATGAGAAATAATCAAAAATGTTCATTTTTCACAAAGAGAGTGTCTATAATAAAGTAGTTTTCAGCATAAATCGACTTTGGTGAACGAAACGAAAATGATGAATTAAAATAAACGCTAACTATTCAGATTAATTCGTATAGATCTTGTTACATGAGTGGCAACTCCAGATGGTTAAGATTGACAGAAAGGATCATATTATTTTCACATTAGAGCTGGTGTCGTATTTTCTAGTTATATAAAAATTAATCGAACTGTTGTCATTTTCGATCATGTTTTATGTAAAAAGACGTAGTTTAGAAAAAGTTAATAAATTTTGCGAATTTCAGTTCATTTCTTCTCAAATGAGAGTTTTGTTTTGCAATCTCCTACGAACTATGTATTTTCTTGCAACCTTCTAAGAAAAAGAAAATGGGGAAGTTTTTTTCATTGATGGCGTTAATGCAGATGTTAGTTTTTTGCAAAACAAAAAATTTTCACATTCGTTTGCAGTTTTCTCTTTAAAATTCATCATTTGATTTCGGATTTCGCCAAGAAAAGCAGTTAATATCTCAACTTTATCTATTACTTTTCTTCCGATGAAGACCACCAAGTGGAAATTCTTGATTTTTGAGAAATGAATGAATCACTATCGCATCTCCTACGTTCAGCACTCCTTTGGGTTATCTAGCTGTATTTTAGCTACTTTTCATGAGTGTGTGTGTGTGTATAAAGAGTAGATACCTACACCCACATCCTTATGAAGCTGTCTGAAAGTTCTTTGGCTTGATCATTATTGAAATGAATAGTAGTAAAAAAAAATTAAATTATCATATCTACTCTATAGGAAATATGAAATTGACATTGAAATAAGAGAATATTACACATAGATAATCATCATGATGAGATATATTTGCTCATTATAAGTATTGCTCATAACGTCAAAGCTATGACTAACAGATACTATGATAATTTATAATTCAAATAATATCTGACGTGATTTAACTATAAATATGAAAAAGAAAACAATTATATTAATACTTTTCCCTAGAGGTAGAAATAGAGGATGAGATAGCTTCCAAAGTGTAAGCGGGGTGGGTGTAATTTGGGTGTGAGTTTGGAATCGGAAGTTGAGTCTTCTCTTATTAGATACACTCACCTATTACAACATTCTGCACAATATGACGATATCTGGGATCTTAATTAAAAAAGTTGGTCCTTATATTTTAGGATTCAATGAAATTGATTCAGTTAAGAACTGAGAGTTTCCACTAAGGATTCTATGGGGCGAAATTTCTAAAGGGAAGTAGTCCTATTCAATACTGCCTTTTTATGTCAGCACTCAGTCCACACGAGCAATAATTATTCTAAACGACTTCACCACTTCTTATAAACATCAAAACTGTCTTCTAACTGATATGAGATACTATTTAGTACTATGCCAACTGAGGGGGACTATGACGTTCTTCTCAGCAATATGCATTCTGCTGAGCAATATCCATTACTCCTTTCAGCAGGAAAGAATTTAATTAGTAACTACTCAAGAGAATTCTTCGAACGTTTTTTTATCATACATGAAATAGAATAGATCTATTGGAAAGTGCTTGAAGACAGCATATAGTCATTCTTATGCCAGCAGTATAGAGAATAAATACCTGACTTCTATCTGTTTCGAAAGTCATTCTTCTCTGACGTCAATAACTCTAAACGACGTGATAAAATCTATTTTAAAGATCGGATTACTGTAAAACTCAGTATTGAAAATGTATGATATAGCATTACAAGCGACAAGATTTATTGATTTAACTCGTGTGCTATAATGATAATATATAAAACAGAAAAAGGGTATTTAAAGACACAACTCACACCGATGAAAATATTCATTTGTTTGATAATTGAACAGACTCTGAAGTTACACGACCATGTCTACTTTTTGGTTCATGATGATTTTCTTGGTTATTAGCAGCGCCTCAGGTAAAGAGAAATTTCTTTTAATACATGATTTGAAACGTAGGATTAATATTGATTTCACATAAGAGTTCAATTATGAAAATTAGGAATATTCTCATGTGTTCAAATACGATCTTAGATATGGATGTGAGTGAGCGCATATGTAAGTTTTCATGCGATGAGTTTGCAACGTGCAGATAAGACGTGTGCGCTGTAACAAAAATCCGCAGAGTAATCAGTCGTTGCACGTTGAAACATTTTAACGAATTGTTTACAAGCATCTGAACTATTAAGATATAGGAGAATAAGAAGGGAGGTTGCGCACACACTAAAAAAGAGGTATACCAAAAAAACTTCAATATAGCTTTTAAGATATTGTACAGATAGGTAAAACATTAGTAAGATTGCAGGATCTTATAAGTTTTGTGTAAAACTATTACATGTTTTCCTCACTAAAATGATTTCATAGATTATTTTCTAAACGTATTGAAGTCTAAAAATTATGAACTAGTAGACTACTTGTCTTATTCTATTTGTAATACGAATGGATATTTACTAATGAGAAATTCAACTGATTCGACTCGATTTTTCTACCAATTCATTTTAGGTTAATGTAATTAATTAACATAAATCTTGAGTAGCTTACCTAAAGATTAATGTTTACAAAAAATAGATGGTAGACATTACTTGATGCACTAGTTGTAACATCTTTAGACGCTGCACTATTGCATGCTCTTGCAATCAAAGGAAGTTGAACATAGAGAATGGAATCCCAAAAAGACTTTTGAAAGACCAAATGACCTGTTTTCAATTCTTGTTTGACACTTATCTTCTGACAAACTGCGTGGCGTGGAACTAAAAATTTTAGCACATTCTCTCCGTTATATGCTAAAACATATGCTGAAAATATAATACAATCTGGATTTACTTAATCTCAAATCTATTTTGAAGGAGGATGAACTCTGTGTTGAGTTTAAATAGTTCTCAGTGCTGTATGGTTTACTTCAAGTAACGACTTTTTAAACACAAATTAACACGAAGTTTTGGAAACCCACTCTGTTAAAACTCATAACATCAAATTGTATACTGTTAACCAACTTTTTTGCAAAAGAACTATTCTTGCAAAGTATATATTCTTGGATGAGAAAAACTGATTGGAATAGTATCATCGGTACGAACAACACTTGCTCAGTCAAGTTTTAGTAAATTATAGATCAAAAGAAAGAGCGTAAGTTTAGTATTAACGATAAATAATAGACTCAGTACCCTATTTTTATTAGTATTAATTATGTTGTAAATCTTAATACCGAAGTTATGAGTATCATGACACTTTTGTAGAACTGAGAAAAACATTCCGAAGAATTCTAATAGGACTATCCTGCGAAGCACGTGTTTAGTAATGTTATTGATAAAATGAGTAGCTTTATCAAACAGAGAAATTATCGGAACCTATGATGATACTCAACAAAGTTCTGGTTAATTTTTAAGCTGTCTCATACAATCGACCTAATCTCAGCGTTTGTGCATCATGGAATAAAGATGCAATAACATTTGGTGAGGAGAATTTAGTTGGACAAAAGCCCGTTGGCCTTTTCGTTAATAATCAAAACGTCGTCTACGTCGCTAATCGTGAGAATGGTAAGATTTTAGCATGGACTAATGGGCCATCAACTTCAACGCCAATTCTTTCCACGAATTCAACTAATTTATGGAGCATTTTTGTCACAACCGATGGTGACATTTATGCTGATAATGGCATTGAGAATGGTTACGTCAATAAATGGACACTCAATGCAACAGAAAATGGAATTGAAGTGAATATCCATGAGTGGTGCACAGGTCTTTTCGTCGACATTAATTATCATTTATATTGTTCTTCGACTAATAACCATCATGTGATTAAGATACCACTCAACAATGGCCAAACTGTACCGATAGTAGTGGCAGGCACAGGATGTCGTGGTCCTATGCCTAATATGCTTGATTATCCGCATGGAATCTTCGTCGATAATAAAGTCAATTTATATGTAGCTGATACTGGTAATAACAGAATTCAATTTTTCATACCTGGTAACAAAAATGCCAAAACAATTGCTGGTTTCGGAGCAACGGTATACTTCATACTCAATAGACCAACAGATATTGCGCTCGATGCCGATGGATATTTATATATTGTGGAAAGTGAAAATCATCGAATTATCCGATCAATTCCAAATGGATTCAAATGCTTGGTTGGATGCTCTGGTAACAGTGGAATAACGTCAAGTGAATTGAATTATCCACAAACAATGGCTTTCGACACAACTGGAAACATATTTGTGAGTGATTTCAACAATCACCGAATTCAAAAATTTCAATTAATTCAAAATCTATGCGGTATGTTTATTTCTATTGTGAGTGAGTAGTTGGGATATTGTTAGATCGATTATTATTGCCATAGTCATTGATAAGAAAATTCATAGAAGGTAGCTAATACACTTTTGAGTGTACTAGTCGATACAGTTAAGTACGATTAGCTATTTTTATGAAAGATTTTATTTTATTTCTATCAGAAATACTTAGCAATTGGTGAAATAATTGATAGAGTAACTTATTACGCATAGATCGAGAAGAGCCTGAGTTCAGAAGTTTCAGTATTTATTCACGAGAGTAATGATTTTCTTCTCAGATCTACATTAGTTATAATCATTATTATCAGTGTTGTAATCGAGAACATAAAAACAAAAGTTAAAATAACAATCGTCTTCCAGTTATGAAAATAAACAAAATCATATCGATAAAAAACTATGACTTCTTTATTAACAATGATTGAATCCAAGACTGAATCTGATTAGTTTTAGTCCAGTAGGACAATTGGATCATAATGAATTTTTTTTATGTAATTTGAGTATCTAAATCCATGTCAACCAAAAGAATGGTGACATCTTATAACATAATATGTCTAATCTTATTTGATATTATAAAATTCGATGCAAATCGAATGAAAAATATTTCTCTCTAAATCCTTAAGTTAAATCGTATTATAAAATTGTTGAAAGTTCTTGCTGCCTTATGAGATATTAGTATAATTGTAAGCACAATAGACTCGTGAGGATGTTAGAGAGAATATTGCTACGCATAGCATGTGATGGCTCTCTTCAACGATTCAACTAATTGCATTCATTTCCGCAAGCTCACCACTACACTAGCCTAAAGTTGAGAAAAAAAATTATTTGTAACGCATCTACCAAACATATTTTTGCATCATAAATTAGTGATTTATAAAATAGAAGAGTACGCTGTGTATATTTTCCCACAGCAAGACACTTCGAACTGAAACCTACATCAATCGACTTTTCATCTTACAGTTTATATTTGCCGAATATTTCAGTTTCAATGATTGAAGTTATGCTAAGCACTTATATAAATATTGTTCCAAGCTAACATCAAAGTCATATGCTCACGCTTTCAGTTGTGTTTCCTATTTTGTAAATATTTTTAGACAAGGGAAAAACAACATGAGGTTTAACTTTCGCAGATTGCTTCAGTAGAGATACTCCTTACAATATAGTCGAAAGAATCAAATCTGTTACAAAATCATTTGAATATTGAGAAAACAAATTGGAGCTTATACAATGTTACTAGAAGACAACGGAAAAAACCACTAAACAATAAAAGTGACGTTTCAGTTAAATTTATTTTTGGACTGTACTGTGTGTAGTGAGTCAGTTGAATTTATCATAGAAAATAAAAAGGTTCGACGCAAAACTTCGAAACACATATTAGTTGATTCAGTTCTTCATCTTATCCCCCAATATGTTATCAATTTCCACTCAAATTGTACTTTTTCTAAACGAAGTATACCAAATGTTGTTCAAAAATACAAAAAAGAATTGATACCCAGATGGAGCTTAAGCCTTTTTGCTAAAGAAACTTCGGCAATATAAAGACTTCAGATTATACAGTTTCGCAGCCGTCTTTCAAAATGTGAGAAACCAACAAAATCACTAGTATAAGTATAGATTTGTGATGCTTGTTTGTAACTAAACTGATATGGGAACTCAGCCATGTAGCAAACATTTAAACTGAAATGGCGCCAAGAATAAATTATGGATAAGTACTCTATTAGTGTAGTTTTCAATTAGAAATGTCTTGCAATGGGAAGAATTTTTAGAGCTTACTCGTCTAACGTGCAAATCATCAATTTTTAGTAAAGATACATTTAGATGCTTTAGCAATAGCTTTATCTTTTTACTCAATAATTCATGATGAAATTCTCCATAAGGCAAGTCAGGAGTGGATCGGAACTCTAGATGGTTGAGAAATAGCTATTATTCATTCCTCCCATTTATTGTTTGTGACAGAGAACGTCACAGGACCTGCCTCCTGCAGGACCTGCATCGTCCTGCCTGCAGGACGCAGGTCCTGTCCTGCACTTTTGCGATTTTGTCCTGCATTTCTTATCCCAATGCAGGAGCAGGACAACCTTTTTTTTAGGCGCAGGACCTGCAGGGCCATTTATTAGTCCTGCAGGACGATATGGAAAACAGCACAGAAATAAATCAGCTACCATCTACAATTCTGATAAAAATTAGAAAATTAAACCTTTGATGGAAAAATCGAAGATAGATATAGCTACATTAACTTAATCTATTTCCTCTACGTCATGCTGCGTATCTTTTTTTTCTTTTCTTTTTTCTCTTCTTTCGTTTGTTTTTTTTCCTTTTCTTGTGATTCTGGTCTTCTATCTATATCCAAGCCTATGTACTGATAGAACCTATATGGTCAATAGTTATGCAAATAAAAAAAAATAAATAAATCTGCTACCCAAAGAATTTGGGGTTCATAGCGATTTCAATAGAATATTTACTTATGGGGTGTAGAGCGATGAGTAGTTATAACATATAAAACCTAATAAAATGAACACTTAGACATAGTTTCTGCTTTTGTCGTATGTATATTGTTATTAATAGTAATAGCGGTTTTTCAAATTTTAGTGAAATTTTCGCATGATTTTTATTTTTTTCTAATTGATGCTTGTTGGTAGAAAAGTAACAAGAGTTTCAAATAATAAGAATAAAATAATAGAAGTATTTACATTCAAAATATGTCACCTAGCAGTTGAAGTTGATTTTTACATATTTTTATATTTATTTTCATTAAATGAATTCAAATAATGATCCAATTTCAATATCTTCACCTCAATCAGAAGAACATCGACTCCAGTCAACTATAATTATTTCACCTACAGTGTCAATAGAATCAACAATTGGTCAATCAATTTTTGTCAACTCGATTGATAGTCTATCTTTTATCTTAATACTTCTTCTGGTATTCTTCTTATCTATTCATCTAATGGATCTCAGTACTACTTTCTATTCATTTCATTTCTGTTGCAAAACGTGACTTGAGGTTTTCTAATAAATTATTTTATGGTTTTTCATGCAAACAGTTCTTTCATTTTTGATGTTGTCTCATTTTACTATCAATGAGATAGTAAACTCTATCCCTATAATTATCTTCCCTAGTGAAAATACTCATACAGAGAGTACGACTTTCCAGCATGAGTACTCAACTTACTCGACCGAGTACTCACAGAAATTCATGAGTATATTCATTTATGTAGTACTCGAAGTAGTACTGACATATGTGTTGCCCTTATATTTAACTCGCGCACACTCGCGTGAGTACTCAGTAGAGTACTTTGGTCTTTATTCAGAGTAAAAGCAGCAAAACAGTTATGCATTTTCAAACATGTATTATAATGAAATAAATATTTTAAAAAAGGTGAAATAAAGTTCATGTAATTTAGTTAGATAGGAAAAAATATCATTACAATTCTTTTTCATTGAATTTATTCAAAGGATTCAAAAGTTACAATGTTTATAAAAAAGAAAGAGAACGTTTGCTATTGGATATTTCATACTTTCTTTTTTTTTTAAATAAAACGTGCTTCATGTTTATCATTTAGTCTTTTTCTCTAATTGAATTCGAAAAAATATTCGTTTAGTTGAACAAGTGATTTTGTTTCTTAATTGGAATGAAATGAAATTTATCTCATCTTTAGTCGATTGACAAAAAGCACAATTACAATAGCATGAAGTTATTATAGTTAAAGTCATATTTTATTTAGAAACAATATTCATTTTTTTTCTGTCATATTCTTTTCATTACTACCATCTGTTCATACTGAATGGTTCAATATTGATGAGTGCTATGTTATTTTCGTTTAGATGTCTAGTAAACGATTCTACCAGAAACCTGCGACTGAAAGACAACGAGAATGTCGACAACGAACAACAAATACAGAATTTGATTCAAAATTAAAGGAAATACGAGCTGATGGTTTCCGAACTGATATTACTGATGAAACACCTGATGCAGCGAAAATTTTGGTTGGAGATTGTTGTGAACCTACTAACAGCCATGATTGTGATCAATTTGATAATGCAGATTGTGTTAATGGACCAGATACAAAAGCAAAAATTTCAAGTGAAGATGAAGATGGCGGCATCAATAATGATGATGAAAATAGCGGTGATATTGATGAAGATGGTGATGATGTTGATGAAAGCAGTGATAATGATGATGATGAAAATGACATAATTATACGCGACTTCATTAGTTTATTTGATGTAAATCGTGAACAAAAATTGTATTCGTCATGTAATTTATCAATTTATAGTGCATGTATGGAAATAGTTAAGCTTTGTCGAACTTTAAATTTGAACAAACTACAAATGCAGCATTTACTGAACGGATTACGTTTGTTATTGCCAACAGAGAATAAGCTACCACGTACAGTACCCAGTTTATTAAAAATCGTTGGTATAACTTCTGATTTTTATACTCATCATTACTATGATTTCTCATTTTATTGTTCCATTTTTGTAGATATTGACTGCTCCAAGCAGGTTTCGTATTATTGTCGTAGATGCTTTTATCGTCTAACATCACCAAAACAATCAGCATGTAGTAGGGAATGTTTTTTGAATGGTCAGCGTCGTTCATTTAAAAATGTTAGTGAATTAGTATTGTACGATGTCAAAAAAGAAATTTCATCAACAGCCAGACGATATATAAACTTAATTCAAGAATATCAAAATGAAAGAAGACCTATGTTACCAAGTGATGTTTTAAATGGACAGGTCAGGGATTTTTTTTACAATCAATCTATAGGGACAATTATAAGGATATTTCGACAGTTAATAAACTAAAAGTAATATGTTTTTGTTTTCGTGACAATGAGAATGGATAGAGCATATAATATTAGTTAGTCTCTTAGAAATCTGAATTACTCTTCGCTCAAGATATTATTACATTTAAGCTGTAAGTATATTTTCACCTTTCTCTCATCCATTGGTTTGAATGCTAAAGAAAGCGTGTAGTAAATAAAACTTAAAATTTGTCTAATTCTAATCGCTACGTATCAGAGTTTATAATAAGTAAAGGATGAAAAGCTATATCAGGCGTAAGATATACACAAATCACAAACAGTTCTGCATTACAAGCTGTTGTAAATTATAAAAAATCATATGATTGAATGTTCTATTCATTTATAAAACGAGAAATTTTTTTTTCTGAAAATTTCAAACATAATGAACCTAATTGAGATAAACCTTAAATTTTATAAATAACATATTTTATTGTCTCAATAATAGCGAAAATTTGAATCAAGTTGTATTTAATAGATTTATAGAACTTTACCATCAAACAAATCGAGTAATCTTACTCTAATGTTACATGCAGATGGAGCACCAGTTACTAAAGTTGGTAGGAAATCACTATGGCCAATACAATGTACATTGGTAGAAATCCCTCCACCAATAAGAGATCGTGCTGATGCTACAATGATTTTCGGTGCATGGTTAGGCGGTACTCATCCTAACAGAAATTTATTATGGTGCTGCATTGTCGAGCAAATTCAAGATTTGTTTCAAAACGGAATTACGATCAATAATAGTGCCGGTCAAAAATTTAAGTTCATTGTACGTGCTCAATACGCAACATTCGATTTGCCTGCTCTTGCACAGAACTGCAACACTATGCAATTTAACGGATATGATGCATGCCCTGATTGTGATATTCATGGTGTTGTTATTGAGCGTCAAGTTTTTTATCCATACTCAGCTACACCATCAACACCAAAAACTGATCGTGATTATACAACTTTAACAACACAAAAAATGTCGGCTGCAGCATCGAAGGGAATTAAAGGACCAACGCCATTGACAAAAGTGCTTATCTTTCCTGATCAAATAGTTAAAGACTATATGCATCTCGTATGTTCCGGTCATTTTAAAACATTGGTGACATATTGGGAAAAAATTTTATTACCTGGAGTTTTTGATCAAGCTTCTGATTATCTTATGTGTGTTATTTTACCTCATTCTTTTAGATACCAATTCACGCCACTTGCACAATATTCTCAATGGAAAACTAAGATGTTTCGGTAAGAAAATTTAATTAAAAGTTAGACGTGGTATTTTAACTTTCTATCAATATAAAAATTAAAACTACATATGAATTTTTAAAATTTTATTAAGAATTTTCTACATTAAAAAAAGTTTAATTGTTATCTGTTTGAAAAAATGATGCATCAATTCGTTAGCATCACCTATAGAATTAAATTTCATCTGACTGTCAAATGATTTCAGAAAATTTAATTTTACTCTTAATGCTAACGATAAAAAATAACATTATAATAATTTTGTAACGAGACACATGTGTGTAATGAAAAAGATGTCTGGAAAAGAAGACTTGTTAAAATATAAAATTAGTCATTAATTAAAAACAAAAGTGAAATTTGTAATATCTCTTTGTGGCTTGACAAGTATAATTATTATCTTTTTAAATACTTTTTAGAGATTTTTTATTGTATATATCACCAGTTTTTGTATCGTTATTTCTGCCTGACTCTCTTGCACTACATTTCATTCATTACTTTTTATATATACGTGCTTTATATTTTTATGAAGATATTATGGAATTAAATGGTATCGAAAATATTTTCGATTATTATTATAAACATATTGTAGATTACTATGGTGAAAAATCGCAATTATGTACACTTCATTTACATTCTCATTTGAAAGATCAAGTGCTGAAACATGGCGCATTAGTATTTACGTCATGTTTTGGTCGTGAATCTTATATAGGTTATTCATTAAAATGGTGCATTGGTAAGAAATACATATTAGAACAATTCAGTACATGGTATCAAGTAGATCGATCATTGGCTACAACAAACTCAATCACACTTGATGATATATTTCATATGGAAAAACTTGACGAAACTTACATGGACAAATGTTATATACAAAATTATCAACAAAAATTAATAATATGTTCAAACAAAAGAAATATTGATATAACAACATCAAAATATTATTCTCGTTATTCTCGTGGAATAAAAATGTTTCATTCTCGGGTATATACAAGAGGTGGTAATGCAATTAGCTATCTTGTATCAGTGTTAACTGAGACATGCCCAATGAATAGAAAAACATGTCTTGCTGAAGTTTTATTTTATTTTCGATCTTCTGGAAATAATTATGCATTTATCAAAAAATATCGGTGTATGAAGTTCAGCATTTCAGATGCATTGTCTACAGTATCAGTGCCACAAGTTATTACTACCAGATTAAATCAATACTTTAGTTTTTATAATCATAAACATTTTTCGTATAAGATTGTACCTATTTCTCATATAGTGAATAAAGTTATCAATATGAAATGGACTAATGATATGTTCGCTTATACTGATGTTGTGTGTGAATGGGAACATGACTAATTATATAGATACCCAATCAAATTTCTTATTATTGTTATTATTTCTTAAGACTTTTTAACAAATAAAATATAATCTTTTCATCCATTTGTTTTATCAACGATGATTCATATAGTTTTTGTTTAAAAATATTATTTTTAATATTTTTTGTTTAGATATGGACTCACCGCCAACATGTCACAAACGTGCACGAAGATCAACAGCTGGGATTAATAAACGTTATGATGAACAACATTATGTACTAGTTTCTTTTCCACAATTAAACAAACATAGTATTGTTCCAGCTGCTAGTATTGATATTGATCCTCTTGATAAACAAATTGGTAGTATTAAAACGTTCGGATCAAGAAAAAACTTGCGAATTGTTAGTAGTGGTAAGTCTTTATGAAATATAATTTTTATTATATTCAACTTTTTGTATGGAGGTCCAAAGGAAGTTATGAAAGAACGTGCATCACGTTATGCTGTTTCAGCTGGTAGTGAAGAAGTTGAACTTGTTCCTGATGAGGAAGAAAACAAAGAAAATCAAGATTTTGATGACGAATACTCTCCGTCTGTCACCCATAGGATGAATAACGAATCTAAGAAACGAATTACGTCAAGTGAACAATCAAAATCACAAATTCAAACAACATTCTCAAATATTAATGATCAAACGACAACAACACCATCAAAAGATTTCTATTGTGAAAGTAAGTCTTTAGAAAATAAGAGGTGCATTACTTGTTATTGTTTCTTAATTATTATAACACTAATTCATATATGTATTTTAATATATTTTTTCAGAAACTCCATTATTTAATCGTCAATTAAATTTTAATCGTGTTTATTCATCTAAAACAGGAACGAAAAGGCGTCTTGAAGATAATCAAGATGAAAGTTCATTGAGTGGTAGTGACGAAGTGGATGACGAATGTGGTGAGTTATTTTTTTTTGTATAGTCAATCAAACTTAACAACTTCTTTTATACATTAGAACAAGATATGGGTGTTTTAAAAAAAAACCAAGAATTACAATCATTACTCAAAAAGACGCGTTATAAAAGAAAAAAAAGAGTTGCACAACCTATCATGAATAGTACCTAAATACTTTTTTTTATTTTTGTATTTTGACCTGCATATGTTTTAAGCTGATGAACCTTGCAGTCGTTGTAAAAATTATGATGAAGAGTTCAAACAATTAGAAAAACGAATTGATAAGTTGGAGAAAGTTATACCGGTAATCAAGAAATTTCGATCCAAGACACCTATAGTAAGTAAAATTTCATAAAAACATATATCTTATATTATGTGAAAAATTTCTTTGTTTTATTGATTAGACAACAACAAATCAAACAAATGCATTTGGAGATACGAATGAAGTTTACAAAAATATTGAAGTAGGTTTTCTTTTACGTGAATACGATGCCCTATGATCATTTGTGTTTCTAGCAAATTACTGGAGTAAGTCCTAATCAAATCAAAAGTACACCAACTCGTCCAACAATAGTAATGCGAGAATTAATTAAAAAATCTGGTCATATTGGAGATAGATCATATTTAAAAGAGCACGAAAACTTATTCAAAGGTTCTTATATAACTTTTAAATTTCTATTAGTTTGAATATTTTTATTCTAGATTTTATACAAATGAAATGTATGATTCTTGATGATAACATGAGTGTTACATGGAAAGAAGTCATGGAATCCCTTTCACGACAACATATTGATGAAGAGAACAACAAAAAGAAAAAGATTAATAAACAATCTTCATCTTCATTAGTGTTAAGCAATACAACATCTCAATGTTCATCATTGACAACGGTTTCTAATGAAGAAGAAGCTACAGCAACAAAACCATTGATGTGAATGAACAATTAGAAAAGACTAGCTTTTTTAAATTGTTTTTCTAGTGGATAGATCAATATGTAAATCATTCAAATGAACATTACATAACTTCTGTACATGTGTGATTTTTTTACGTGTGTTGCGTTATGCTTGTATCATGCAAAGTTAGTTGTGCTGAAGTAGCAATTTCTCCTGTTTTTAAACTAAGCGAGATCTCTATTTAGTTCTTATCTTCTTACTTTCGTTGTTTAGCATCTCTCTATTGCTTGTATTTTATTTTCTTATCTTGTTACTTTTATGGAAAAAAATTCAGATGATTATATTTAGTCAAAAATCAACAGAAATACGAACGTATATGGAATAAACTTGTAGAGTACTCATAGAATTAGAAATAAATATCTGTGTACTGTAGAATATGCTTGTATGTGTACTGCATAGTAGTACTGAAATACTCAGTACTCTCATATGTGTACTCGGCAGTAGTACGTAAAGACTCGAAACTCGTGGTAAGTACAACATAAGAGTACTCAAATGCCGCGAGTACTCGTGAGTACTCGTGACATTTTCTAGCATGAGTACTTTTTGAGTACTCGCGTATGAGTACCTTGACTAGGGTTGGGATTTTTTTTTTATAAATCTCAAATATTGTTTTGTTCATTTCATTTCGCGTATGTCAGAAAGAATGTGATTAGATTAATTAATAGAATCATTATAAATGATTTTTATACAGAGTATTTCTATAATACTTGACATCATGTCTCACATTTACACAATATTTAACTTTTTGAAGCTTGCAGGACAAAAATCCGTCCTGCAGGCAGGACGCAGGACGATTTTTTGTCCTGCAAGTGTGTCCTGCCAGGACGAAGGTTTTTGCGTCCTGCAATCCGTCCTGAAAAGCAGGACAAGGTTCCAAGATGTCCTGCAAAAATGCAGGACAGGACGAAAAAAACCGTCCTGTGACGTTCTCTGGTCAATGAAGATAATACAGGTAAACAAAATAAATTATTAACGATTTTTTCAATATAATTTGATTCAATATTATTTAATATAAGTGTTGTAAGTTGTGTTAAGTTTTTCATTATTGGTATTAATAATAAACATGGATCAATACATGGATTTGATAATCGAATTAATTCAATTCGATAAGCATTTGGTTTAATTATATGTTTTGTAAAATATTCAAATTTAGATTTTGATATCGTTGATATATTTATTTTAATTGGAATATTTGAATTAAGAAAAAGATTTTCAAATCTTTGATTAAGATCATAAAAAGCTTGAAATGCATGATGATAATTAAGAAATTCAAATATTTCATAAATTAATTCATTTGAAAGATTTTCAATTTTATTAATATTTTCTTTTATTAAACAGAAAAAAAAATAAAAGAGAAAAATTTTATAAAATCAAGAAATTAATTTATAATAGACAAACCAATTTGTTTCATTTCTTATTACTAAAAAAAAAGTAAAAGATGTGTTCATTAAAAATAAAACCAGATACTATTTTTTTTTACCGTCAATCTTTTTTCTTTTATTATCATGAATAATATTATTTCGTTGTCTTTTCATTTGTTTTATGAAAAAAATAGAAAGTAAATAAAATCTAATAGCTTATTTATATAGAAGTTTGAATGAAAAAAGAATGTACATGTGCTTTATATATCAGTTCATTTTTTTTCCAATATGAATCTATAGAATAACCAAGAAAGAAAAATAATTCTTTCAAATGATTATAGAATATCATATGAATCATATTTGTTTTCTTTCCTTAGTTTATATTCATTTAATTTAAATCGATAGATTTATCTTTATATATATTTTTATTAGACACAAAATAATTCATTTCATATTATTACGTTATTCACACATCATCTTTGTTAATCCATCAATGATAACGATAATTATTCAACAATTCATAGACACGATGATAATTAATATTAATCAATAGGAGTTATTGAGAAAGTAAAGAAGTATCTTATTCCATGTTTGATCATAACCTATAAAGTTATTGTTAATAACGCCAACAATAATTTTGTTAATATGTGCATTAATAACACCATAGCTAAGTCAATATTCGAACGATATATTAATACTTATGAAACTGTTTATAATATGACAAATTATAATCAAGATTTACTTAAAACTCAATTAATGTTTTATATTTTCGTATTGGTTTAATGTGATCTTAGTTTACAATATATATGTTTTGTATAATTTCAATTTTCATTGAATTCTTCTTATATTATATTTTAATAACGCCAAAGACAAAAGTCATATCTTCCACTCAGAGACGAGAACAGGACAAGACAGAAAACATCGTCCTGCATTTTTATATGCAGTTTTGACTGAAATTTTAGAAAATTTTTCTTAAATCCTATATAACTCGTGACAATCAGTCCATAGTTCATCTATCAAATATTAGAAATGAGTGTCAGTATAACACTAATCAACTTCATATTGTATTAGTCAACACAAACGTTAGACCATAAATATTCGTATTAGAAGAGTTTGATCGTTAGAAACAGACAGATAAAACCATCCTAAAATCGCTGAACATTTGAAAAGATCAATACAAAAAATTTTCATAATTTGTGCTATTCTGACAGACGTAGAAAAATACTTTTATAGCACAAAATTTATTATACAAGACCACAGAACATATTAAATCTTGAACAATTGAATAAGAATCTTTTGGTAATATAAGACAGTGGTGCACTAATTTAACAAGTATCAGACTTTTCGAGTGATTAAAATGTTACTAAACAACTTGAATGTCGTGTTCATTTTTATACATATTCAGTTCAAAATTGTTCAAAATGGGAGTTAATCCTTATAAAAATATGAAATGAATTCATTAGACGATAATAGAAATATATAATATATTATATATTTAATAGAATATTCCTGCTTTTCGTCCTGTTCTCGTCTCTGCTTCTAGTAATCAATTTTAACATAGATTTTTATCAATAATAACTTGATTTAATTTCATTGTTTAATCGAATCTACCTTAAGAATATTCTCTCATAATAAAATGAGTATTTTAATATTAGTTTGTGAAAATTCGATTTTCATCTTAATACATTGTATAGAATAGCAAAATTTCAGCTCGATTCTTTGTACTTTACTTAAAGATATAACAATTTTTTAACATGTATCTTTTTAGGTGCGGTGACTTTCCATATATATGTAGCGTCATTCTACTACAATACTAAAGAAAGTCATTTATTTTGTTTTTAAAAAAGCATAAAAAACTACAGGATCTCAATGTCATTTGTCAGAGTTAGAATATGATTGTGGATGAGAAAAAAATCTACATTGATATAGGAACACACATGTTTGGAGACTTACAAATCATATTGAACAGAAATTTCCGACTGAAGATAAATTTTGAATGATCAATTTCTTGTAAGACAAAACGTTACATTTAATAAACAGATAACAGTTAATATTGTCGAATTTTTTTAAAAGTAAACACGTACGTTAAATAAAATCAACAAATAGACAAAAATTATAATCAAGTATTTCTATTTTTAAAATCAATTAGATACCAAGAAAAAAACATCATTTTATGTATTTTGGCATAAGTAAGATACATTTTATGCAATTGTTATTTATTTTACACTGGAAGAAAAATCATGTCAATAAAATAGATTTTAATAATTAAAAATTGATTATGATCAATATAAATTGAATAAGTAGTGAACGAAATATGGTTAATTGACTATCAATTTAACAATTAGTTTTCTTTATTTTTACCATTAAATTGTAATAAAATATATTCTATAGAATTGACAATACATTATTGTTATGCTTCAAAATACTAAAAACAAAAACAAATTCGTAAAGTTTAAATGAATTTAAAATATTTGTCATTAAAAAACTATTAAAGCTGAAAAATAAATAGTCTTGTTGTTAATTGAGAAAAACGTGTATTACTAGAAAATCTACTGGATAGTAAATAATATGATGAAAGAAATATCTATTTACTAATATAATTATGAATCCAATTTAATGTATAAACAATAGAAAACAGTGAAAAATTGAAAAAATAAATTCGAATTTATTTTTTTTTAAAAAGATTTTTTATGGTAAAATTTGCTTAACGTTTCTTCTATAGATATCGTAAGAAAATAAATAGCTTTATTAACTAGTCTATGATCAATAAAATCCGTAGAGAACGTCTAGTTTTTGATTAAGATAATAACAGAATGAAATATTATCTAATAGATTTTATTAATAAAAACAAACTAATTGAAACTGAAAAGATACACGTAACTTTCTATGTATTATATAACTGATATGAATTTTATCAGTATTTTTTTATTCTTATTTTTTTAATTAGTAGTGCAAATTTCATTGTGAGTTTCGATTTTATTGATTCAATTGTCAAAAAATCTGAAAACAAAATATATCATAGTTAATCAACTATGTAGAATAGAATATAAATATTATATTCACATGTGAAAAATTGTTTTAAATTAACATTTCACAACTATGGTAAAGATATAATATTTACATCAATACTTAATAAAATAAGCCAATAAATTTAATCTTTTGTAGATTGAAAGAGGATTGTTTCATCTATATAATATTTTACTTTCAATTTAAAATTCAACCAAAAAAGTTTATTGAACAGAAATTCGGAAAAAAACCTGATTGATAAAATGTCAATTATTTATACTAATCATGAAAAATGACGTGTACTCTTTCAATTTCGAGTATTCTTTTCTTTTTTTTTTAATCAATGAAAACTACAAATAAATATTCGACTAAAATTCTGATGTTAATAGAAAAATGAATGGATATATTCTACTGTGATATTGTATAATTATACTAATTCTTACCGTTACTTGAAAGTTCAAATCTCGTTGAAGCCAGAATTTGGATTTTTCGAATGATTCTTCAATATCAGGTTCATCAAAATCTAATTGATCAGGATATGGTGTATATTTACAAAACTTAAGTTGTAGATATTTAAGATAGATTAGATAATCTTCAATTAATAATTTCCATCCTGTTGGATTGGTTATTTTTTTGTTCTGTATTGTAATCCAAAATTGCAAAACCAATTTTATTAAATTAGGAAAAATTGAAAAAAACTGATAGATTTGTTCAAATGAATGACAACCATTTATATTTAAGTTTAGATTTTTGAGATTAATATGAATGAAATTGGACATGTAACAATTCTTATTTAAGAAGGTTAAAGAAGATTTAAAATAGCAAAGATTAGGCGCATGTTGCAAGAAAACTAACATTTGATTAATTGACAAATTCTTAAACAATGAATATTTTAACAATGAAAAATTATGTGAAAATGATTCATTTTGATTCTGATAAATTTTGCGAAGTGGTATATTCAAATAACGAAGTTGTTTTTGACAATTTACAGATATCAAAGACCAAATTTGATCGTCCATATATGTAGAATCAGGATCATTATTAAATTCCCAATTATTTATCTTAATATATTCCAATTGTTGTAATGGAAAACTCTTGAAAAGTTCGTTTAATGTTTGAGAATCAACATAATGAAATTCAATAGCTCGAATTGCCTCAAAATTTAAACATGAATATATTAGGGTGGGTGTGGGTGTGGGTGTGTGGGTGTGGGTGTGGGGTGTGGGTGTGGGTGGCTGGGTGTGTGGGTGTGGGTGGGTGTGGGG